GGCCACACACACGCACACACACACACACAAATAAAGCAGGGGCTGGTGAGATGGCTCAGTGGTCTAAAGCACCTACTTAGAACAAGCTTGGCCAAAGCAAAGGGACCACGGTTCGATCCCCCAGCACCACATGCCAGCCAGTCCCGCCCCCTGGTGGGCTGAGCTGGCCACACACACGCACACACACACACACAAATAAATAAATGTTAATTGTATTAAAATATATGTACAAATAATGTTTAAAAAAAAAAAAAAAAAGCAAAAGCAAAAACATAAGTTCCTTGTATTTTTTTTTTCCCCCGGAACCGGGGATTGAACTCAGGTCCTTGTGCTTTGCTAAGCTTGTTCTAAGTAGGTGCTTTAGACCACTGAGCCATCTCACCAGCCCCCTTCCTTGTATTTTTAAAAGAACAATTTTTTTAAAAAATAAAAAACTACTCCCAGCACCCAGTAGACTGAGGCAGAAGGATTGTTGCGAGTTTGACACCAGCCTGGACCATAAAATGAGCTCAAAGCCAACCTCAACTGCATAGTGAGACCCTGTCTCAAAAAGACACACACACACACACACACACACACACACACACAGTCGACAGAGAATGTAGTTCGTATAGTGTATGGTCCTGGATTTAATTCCATGCACCAAAACAAAAACAAGACACTGAGGAAAAGGATTTGAAGATTTAAAAAGCAATGTCAATAAAGTTCTACTCTTCTAACATACTACTTATAAGACCAGAGAAGTTAACTGTCATAAGGAATGATTTATGTAAAATTTAGACAGCATATAGCTAGAAATAAGGAAACTTTACCATTATGCAGACAAGAAAGTATAGACATTAATAAATTAAGTCTGTTAAAAAGTAAAAATAGGGGCTGGGGAGATGGCTCAGTAGAATAAGCGCTTGCCTGGCAAGGCAAACACAAGGGCCTGAGTTCAATCCCCGGTTCCAACAACAAAAAAAGTAAAAATAACAATATCACACTAACAACAAAATAAGTATTATATTAAACTAAGAGTCATTTAGACTTCCGCAGTTTTTTCTTAGTAAGCCTTCACAAACCTGTGACAGCTGTGCTCTCATTATCCTGGACTGACAGTGAGGGAAGTGTTGACATTTGTAGTCAGCAGTGAAGTGAAGATTCAAGCAGTTTAGTTCTACTGACTCCAAGGAAGCACTTGCTCTCAACCAACTAATCCAAACATTTTGTCAGTAATGTCTACTTTGTAATTATGCTAAGAATTGACTTCTTAGTTTTCATAGAACTTTATTTGCTTGCAGTGATATCTACTTCATTTGAAGAGGCAGAGAAAAGAGAACCCTTACACAGAGTTAGTGAGAATGTCATTTCATGCAGCCAATATGGAAAACAGTACAGAAGTTCCTCAAAGAATTAAAAATAGAACTACCACATGACCAAGTAACCCAAGTACTGGGTTTACTTTCAAAGGAAATTAAATCAGTTATGTCAAAGATACATTTGCACTTTTGTGCTATATCACTCACGATAGCCAAAATATGGAATCAATCCAAGTGTCCATCATACATATATACACATATATATGTGTATATATATATATATATATATTCATCTATGTATTTTTATATATACCTATTCAGATTCGGCCATAAAAAAACAGAAAGCCTATCATTTGCAACAACATGGATGGAATGGAACAGGAGATCATTATGTTAAATGAAATAAATTAGGCATAGAAAAAAGTAACACATGATTTTATTTATATGTAAAATCTAAAAAGATTGATCTGACAGAAAATATAATTTTGATTTATTTTTCTGGTACAGGATCTTACTATGCAGTTCAGATTCATAAAGATCCTCCTGTCTCAGCCTCCCCTGCACTGGGATTACAGGCATGTGCCACCAGGCCCAGGTCTGGAGCCGACATGGCATGCTGTATGAGGAATTGAACCCAGGTCCTTGTGCTTGCCAGGCAGGCACTCAGACTGCCAAACTATCTCCCCAGCCAATCTCATCGAAAATAAAATGGTAGTCTCCAGAGGATGGGATGGTGAGGAAATGTTAGTCAAAGCATACAAAATTAGTTACAGCCAGGTACAATGACACACACCTATAATCCCAGCACTCTGGGAGGCAAAGGCAGGAGGATCACAAATTCAATCCCAGACTGGGTAACTCTGGAAGATCCTGTCTCAAAAATTAAAAAAAGAAAGAAAGAAAGAAAGAAAGAAAGAAAGAAAGAAAGAAAAGAAAAGAAAAGAAAAGAAAAGAAAAGAAAAGAAAAGAAAAGAAAAGAAAAGAAAAGAAAAGAACCGGGGAGATGGCTCAGTGGAATAAGCGCTTCCCTGGCAAGCACAAGGGTCTGTTTTCAATCCCCGGTTCCACAAAAAAAAAAAAAAATCAAAAAAAGAGTTGAGAATGTAGTTCAGTGTAAATGTCCTGGTTTCAATCCCTAGTACTGCCAATAAATAAATAAGTAAATAAAGATGTATACTTAGAAGCAAAAACATCATTTTTATAGAATGGCAATTATAGTTACTGACCATATATTGAATTATAAAATAGCAGTAGAAGATAAAATAGATGCTGTGGTGCTGAGGATGAGATCCAGAGCCATACTTGCTAGGCAAGCACTCTGTCACTGAGTTACATTCCTAATCCCCAAATTCTCTTTCTTCAACCCACAAAATCATCTTAGTATCAAGTCAGGATCTCACCGGGGTTCAATCCCTGGCATGCCATACCAGCCCCGCCCCTGGGGTGCACTAAGACTGCGATTGAGACTAGGTGTGGTGTGGTAATCCAAGTGCTTGGGAGGCTGAAAACAGGAGAATCAACTACGAGTACGATCTATGTAGTGAGACCCTGTATACCCTGTACTAAATACATTAATTTTAAAAAAAAGCTCTTTCGGGTCCTCCTTTCCAAGATGACGAAAGAAGGAACAACGGTCGTGCCAAAAAAGGCCGCGGTCATGTGCAGCCTATTCGCTGCACGAACTGCCCCCGGTGCGTATCCAAGGATAAGGCTATTGAGAAGTTTGTCATTTGGAACATAGTGGAGGCCACCGCTGTCAGGGACATTTTCGAAGTGAGTATCTTCAATGGTGATGTGCTTCCCAAGTTGTATGTGAAGCTGCATTATTGTGTGAGTTGTGTCATTCACAGCAAAGTGGTCAGAAATCGATCTCGTGAAGCCCACAAGGACCGAACTCCTCCACCCCGATTTAGACCTGCTGGTGCTGCCACACAACCTCCACCAAAGCCCATGTGAGGGGAGCTGGGTCTTCAGGAACTAAAGAAAACTCTCTTGAAAGAGAAATAATAAATTGAATGTTATACTTTATACAGCATGTTGAGTGTACTTGCCAGAGGTGGGTTGGGTTAATTCAGCCTATCCAAGTTTAAGTTTGTACTCTGAAAATGAATAAAGAGGAACACACCGGAAGGGGTTTCAGGAGCATAAAAAAAGGATATCAGATCCTACAAATCTGTTCCTAATCCCAGCATTCTGGGAACCCCAGGCTGGAGGATCACATTCAAGCTCAGCCTGGGCAACTCAGCAAGACTCTGTCTCAATATTGTAGCCCAGGGCCAGGGAGATGGCTCAGTAGAGTAAGCACTTGCCTGGCAAGCACAAGGGCCTGCGTTCAATCCCCAGTTGTGCCAAAAAA